CCTCAGGCTGACAGGATTCAGCTTAATATGTGATGGTGAACTGTATTTTCTAATTTGGAGGTGAATAATTATGAGATATTATTCAAATAGTCTTTAGAATATTTAATTTTCAGAAAGAGATATGTTAAAATCTCCATGTGATTGTAAGATATGTCATTTCTTTTTGTAATTATGACCATCTTTGCATTATGCTTCTGAGTCTATGTTATTAGGTGCATCTAGGTTTAGGACTTTTATCTCTTCCTGGTGATGTATCCATTTCACCATTACTTCATGACTTCCTATCCTGCAAAATGCTTTTTCCTGTACATATACACAATGGAATATTATTAGTGTTTGCTGGTATATCTACTTTCAGTCTTATACTAGTTGTGTCTTATTACCTATATTCTTCCTCCCTAAAGGTAACAGATGTCTTGACTTCTAACACTGGTTTTAAAATGGAATCATAAAGTAATGGGATCATACCATAATACTACTACTAATGGGATCATACATAAATGGAATCATACATCATGTTTTATGTCTGGCTTCTTTCATTCAGTATTGTGTGATTCATCCATGTTGTTGTATATAGCTTTAGTTTGTTTACTTTCATTGCTGCATAGTATTTTGTTGTGCTATTTTGTGACATCTATTACTTATTTGTCATTAGGCTGTTTTGATTTTTCAGCTATTATGAATAAGCCTGCTATGAACTGGAAAGTAAGACAAACAGGGACAGTTCAACTAATGAAACTGACTAGGAACAGGGATGAGGCAGAGGGGACTAGAGCAAGCCTTTAAAAAATGATTTTATTTATGATACAGTAATATCTCACACCTGACAGTGATTCATTTGGAACAGAGCTGAGAACCTAGGAAACCAGAGGCATTTCTAAGAAGCCAAAGTATTATTGGAAAGTTCACATATTTTACTCACAGGAGAATTTCTTCCCCAGTTTATTTACACTTATTTTACAAAAACTTCTAAATACTTTGGTTTTCTGGTAGCCTGGTCCTCAGCAAATTAGAAGTTGCCTGTTAGAAGAAATTGTTCTGGGAGGCAGGCATATGAAGGTCAGAAAAAGTGCCAATTAACAACTAGGGACAGGACAATATGTATTTGTAAAAAGCAGACACAGGAATGCAAAAGGCACAGCAGTTTGGAGTGATTCTTTGAAGGGCCAAACTATCTAATAATTTCCTAAAGGCATTACCACATTATTAGCCAGCACAGTAACACATCATAATTATGTACAAGTTTTTAGAGCAAAGGTTGAATTATATGTATTATGTTTAAAGTGGCCAAGGGTAGCAAGCATTTTATAAAGATTATTAAACAAATGGTTAAGACAAAACAAAACAATAAAAAACATTTTAGTACATAAAAAACTAGCATTGTAAATGATGCTAGATAAAGTGCGTTAGTGCACTATCAGACATTCCTGATAATGGCTAAAAGTGCTGAGGACAGAGTAGATGCTCAATCAATTAAGTGACTGATTGCAAGCAAAGAAACAATGGAGGTCATCTAAAAACACCCCATAGCTAACATCATACTCAGGGATGAAAGACTGAGTGATTTCCGTCCAAGATCAGGAATAAGACAAGAATGTCTGCTCTTACCACTTCTATTCAACATTGTACTGGAAGTCCTAGCCAGAGCCATTAGGCAAGCAATTAGCAATTAGCCAGAGCAATTAACAATAAAAGGCATCTAGATTGGAAAGGAAAAAGTAAAAGGTCCTGCAAGTTTAGATGACATAATTTGATATACAGAAAATCCTAAGGAATCCACTAAAAAACTATTAGAACTGGTAAGTGAGTTCAGCAAGATCAATATACAGAAGTTAAACGTATTTCTATATAGGTGCAACAAACAATATGAAAATGAAATTAAGAAAACAATTCCATTTTTAATAACATCAAAAAGAATAAAATACTTAGAAATAAATTTAATAAAAACAGTACAAAAGTTATACTCAAACTACAAAACATTGTTAAAAGCTAGTTAAGAAGATAAAAACAAATGGAGAAGACATTTCATGTTCATGGATACAAAAGGTTAATATTGTTAAGACGGCAATATTCACCATATTGATCCACAGATTCAGTGCAATTCTATTAGAATCCCAGCTGGCTTCTTCGTAGAAGAAGTTTAAAAAATAAAATAAAAGTTTAATAGATTTTTAGGGGGTCCCATATAACTAAAACAATCCTGAAAAAGAATAAAGTTGGGGGACTCACACTTTTTGATTTCAAAATGTAATACAAAGCATTTACAATAGCCAAGAAATGGAAGCAACCTAAGTGTCCATCAGTAGATGAATGGGTAAAGAAGATGTGGTACATATACACAATGGAATATTATTCAGCCATAAGAAAACAAATCCTACCATTTGCAACAACATGGATGGAGCTGGAGGGCATTATGCTCAGTGAAATAAGCCAGGCGGAGAAAGACAAGGACCAAATGATTTCACTCATCTGTGGAGCATAAAAACCAAGCAAAAAGTGAAGAAACAAAATAGCAGCAGACTCACAGAACCCAAGAATGGACTAATAGTTACCAAAGGGAAAGGGACTGGGGAGGATGGGTGGGAAGGGAGGGAGAAGGGAAATAAGGGGCATTATGATTAGCACACATAATGTGGGGAGGGCAAGGAGAAGGCAGTATAGCACAGAGAAGACAAGTAGTGACTCTATACAGGCATGTGGTGGGGAATTAATAATGGGGGAATCTAGTAACCACAATGTTGCTCATGTTATTGTATATTAATGATACTAAAAAAAAAAAGTAGTACAAAGCAATAGGAATCAAGTCAGTGTGGTAATGGCAAAAGGATAGACATACAAGATCAATGGAACAGAACTGAGAATTAAAATTAACCACATTTGTCTGCACTCAATTGATTTTTGACAAGGGTGCCAAGACCATTCAACAGGGAAAAAATAAGTCTTTTCAACAAATGGTGCTAATACAATTTGATGTCCATGACAAAAAATAAGATTGGAACCTTACCCCCACTATATGCAAAAATTAGCTAAAAAGTTATAAAAAATGTAAGGCAAGTATATTGAAGACCTAAATATAAGAGCCAAAACAATAAAACTCTTGGAAGAAAACATAGACGTAAATCTTTGTGACCTTAGATTTGGAAATGGATTATTAGATATGACACAAAAACATAAGCATCAAAAGAAAATACATGTAAATTGGACTAGATGAAAATTAAAAACTTCAGTGCTTCAAAGGACATTATCAAAAAAATGAAAACACAATCCACAAAATGAGAGAAAAATTTGGAAATCATGTATCTGTTAAGGGACATGAACCCAGAATATATAAATATATAAATAATGTAGAATGCAATCCAGAACATTTAAAGGATATATAACCCAATAAGAAGATGAAAAAATTCAACTTAAAAAAATCAGCAAAATATTTGAATGGACATTTCTCCCAAGAAGATATACAAATGGCCAATAAACACAGATAAAGAAACTTGACATTAGTCATCAGGGAAATACAAATTGAAATCACTATAAGATGTAACTGTATGTCTAGTAGGATAATCAAGAAGTCAGATAATAAGTGGTAGCAAGGATATGAAGAAATTGGAACCCTCAGACATCGTCAGTGGGAATGTATAATGGTACAGCTGCTTTGCAAAACAATCTGGCAGTTCTCAAATGATTAAAAATAGCTACCATATGACTAAGCAATTCCACTCCTAGGTATGTAGCTAAGAAAAATGAAAACACATGTCTACACAAAAACTTGTATATGAAAGTTCATAGCAGCATTATTAATAATAGCCAAAGTGTGGAAACCCAAATGTCTACCAGCTGATGAATGGATAAACATAATGTTGTAGATCTAAAATTGAAATATCATCCAGCCATGAAAAGGAATATTTGCTATAAATTCAATGAACCTTGAAAATATTATGCCAATTTAAGGAAGCCTGTCACAAAAGTCCACATATTATATGATTCCATTCATATGGAAGTCTAGAATTAGAAAATCTGATACAAAAATTAATGGTTTCTTAGGGATAGGAAGTAGGAAAATGGGAGATGAGAGAATGAGTCTAAAGAGCACGAGTTTCTTTTTGAGGTGATGAAACTATTCTAAAACTGACTGAGGTGATGGCTGCACACATCTGTTTATATACTAAAAGCCACTGAATTATATAGTTTAAATGGGTGAATTATATGGTTTGTGTGAATTGTATCTCAATAAAGCTATTTTAAAAGGCAGCAGCACCACTAAGGATAAGCCCATAAACAAAAAATAGGAAGGAAAAAAAAAAGAATAGAAAAATGCTAGTCTAACTAACTTTAGATTTTAATCCCTTAGTCGGTGGCACTATATTGCATTCTAGCGCTTTTCTATCTTTGCTTGCCTGTACGCTCTCCTGCTCTGACGCTCTTACCTTCCTCATTTCAGTACATGCATACTCTGTATGAATATTCTCTCCTCCTCTCTTACATGGATGCTGGTAACTAAAATATCTGTTAAAGTATGTTAGATGAATATGCTCCCTACATTATGTTCTACAGCACTTGTCTGTGCCTCAAATCATCTTACTGGTTTATATGCTCATTGTCTGTCTCCCTCCATTGTCTTGTTCAGTGTATACCTATTGCTTAGCAAAGTGGCTGGCCATTGGCAGATGCTCAAAAATTATTTGTTGACTTCTTGATTAGCAAAATATTTTTGGTACAAGGCAACAATGCTTAATAAGCACCATTGTTAAGTCTCACTGGTAGATAACAGAGACACGAAAATTAAGCCTGCCCTTTCAGGAACAGGAGTGATGGATGAACGAGTGAGTAACAACATGATGTGGTAAGAACGATACCAGTATTCTTGTTATAATGGCATAGCATTAGCATTTTTCCTGCTTTCAGTCTCCTAAGCTTATGCATTTATTTCTCAGCTCCCTTCTGCCTGGATACATACCACACTTCATTCAGATCAGACTAAGATAGGAGTATATGTATCATTTGTATTTAATGTGGTGAAATTACTAAGGTATTAAGTTTTAGGGAAGCCACGCCTTACTTTTTCTCAAAATACATAGTGTTAGAAGGACTACAACTTTAGGTACTCTGGTTTAGACAAAACCAAAGTTAACACTATACTCCATGTCCCTCAATATACACACTCCATGGACAAATATTTAGAGTACTCGTGATAGTGCCCAGGCATAGTAGTGGTGATGAGGATTCTCAGCTCTTCATCTATTGAGGGATGAAGTAAGTAAAAAGAGAAATACAACTTCATGCCAAAGGGACTTTAGGGTGCTCTACCCAGGGTATTACTTTCCAAAACTACCAAAGAAATAAAAATCCAACAGAGACCTTTGTGTCAGGGACATCCTTACCCAAGCTTGACACTCAAATGAGGGGACTGTTTTTTTTTAACATGGGCATTAGTGCATAACTCATACCTTGGAGAAAGATGTGAGTGCTCACAGACTTGAAAGAAGTTGAATTCCTGGTAATAGGTTGACCAAATAGAGAATCCAATCTATTTTCATTGCCTGCATACTGAATCTACCTTCCATTTTTGATAAAAGAGAAATAGTGCTGGTAAGTTTTTGAACTTATTTGCTAAGTTGCTTATTAAACTAAGCAATCAAAACCACCCAGTGACTATAATACATCCAATTCTAACTTTAGGTCTTTTGGCATATTATACCCCTCAAGTCTTCCCTTGAGAATAATAGGCTCACTTCTAGGAAGATAACATGGTTGTGGGAAAGGATGGAATTTGAGTCAGAAGACCTCTGTTTAAGTCCTACTCTGTTACTGGCTGTGTAACATAAATGAATAATTTAACCATTCCAAACCTGTCTCTATACCTGTAAATGAAAATATCATCTGCCCTAATTCATCTCAGAGGTATGAAGTAAGTACTAAGATAGTAGATGCCAGATTGTTAGAAAACTAAAGCAATATATAATGATTATTATTCTTATCTGTATGCCAGGGCTTAGCCAAGTGCCTGGTACAAATGTACTCAATAAATGTTTGCAAAATAAATTAGTATCTCAAGTGCTCCCAGAGCACAGATCCATGAAAGCTCTAGTTGGCTACAATTTAGCAGCCCCAATAGTTACATTTTTTTCAAGTGATGTTGAAAGATTTACTTGTTTATAACCCAATCACTTGTTTAGTCTTGATTTGAATTGATATTTAAATTCATGGGTTGTCAAAATGCCTTTTACTTTTGTTGATTTTTAATCATTTTTATGCCTATCTGCACTTCCACTAGATGGTGAATAGAAACCAGAGAGTAGTTCAATTGTGGTTCAGTCAATTTTGCAAGTTTTTGTAAGTGTCAACAAAGACCAGTGAAGATGTGGATGCTACTGGCCAAAAACTGTGTCCTTGTTTCTCTGACTTCAATTTCTATTGATATTGAGAGTAACTGGCTTTATTATCTGACTAAGAGATTATAAATTATGGAGAACAAATTAAGAATTCAGGCATATGCTTGAAGAAATGAAGTGGAAGAGTAATTTCAGCAAAATACTACTTACTCCATTTTTTGCTTTTACAGATTAAAAGGGTGCCTCAAGGTAGTGCTCCACCAAGTCCAAGCCACACTTCCTATTCATAGGTGCTCACTGAGTCTAAAAATGCTTCTTTTTTAAATTTAATTGGGAACAAATTTCACTATGCATCTCTTGACAGCAGTGATTTAGAATGAAAATAATAGGAGGCTGAGGCTGACTGCAATGCCCTCTGGTGGCCTAAGGTTTCTCCACATCTGCAAATGAAAAATTAGAAGCACACAAAAAAGCCATTTTCTATCAAATAGGAGATTTTTTTATAAAATAAAAAGTCAACAAAATAAATTATAAAAGTCTTCTATGGTTTTCATAACCATCACAATCATAAAGCATTTCTACAAAGGCACCCAATGTAACCTCTCCTTCATGGTAATTCACAAAAGGATTACTAACAAGTCCCTGCTCTCTAGAATTTGACATCTAACATAGGCGAGGGAGCTAAGAAGTGAACTTGGAAACAAAGCTGGAAGGGGAGAAGTGTATAAAGCGCACAGGCTTTGGAGCTTTTGCAGGAAGACTAAATAATATACAAAAGTATCTAGCACGGCAATTGGTGCATAGTTAGGTGCTCAATAAATGGTAGCTTGTTATTATTATACTTTAGTATGTGATATTTCATGATCTCAGCTACCTGCTGGAAGAAATCTAATTTTTAGCTCTAACTCCTAAAATACTTACTTTTGATAATCCTCATTTAACTATGTAGTTCATAGGACTTGTTCAGAGAATTAAAAGAAAAAGCACGTAAAGTCCAGGCCCCTCATCTTACTACACTGATGGACAGTGACTGCAAAGGGTGTGGGTGGGGACTTGATAATATGGGTAAATGTAGTAACCACATTGCTTTTTCATGTGAAACTTTCATAAGAGTGTATATCAATAATACCTTTATAAAAGATTAAAAGAAAAAAAAAAAGTCCAGGCCCTGGTGTACACTTCTTTGCGATCACACTCGAGTGGGGCTCTTCTGCGGCTTGCCAAAGCAGAGATGAAGAGAGAAATGAAGCATTTACATAATCCAGTGTGACAAGGAACATAAAGGAATAGACAGGATGAAGGTTAAATTTAATACACATAATGCCACAGTAGGCATACCTTTTGACCCAATAACTGGATTCTTGGAAATTTTTCTTAAAGAGATTATCAGGGAAGTATAAAAAGATGCATATATTAAGAATTTTATAATTATATTATTTCTAAAGGCAAAAAATGGGAAACAATCTATCAATAAGAGTTCAACTAAATAATACATTCACACCATGCAATTCTATGAAGTAACTAAAATTATGACATATCAACATTAAATATTTGAAATGAAAATTCACAAAATTACACATAGTTTGATCTCATTAAAAAAAACCTCTATAAAGATAGCTAAGTATGTATACAATTAAATCTGAAAATAGATAGCCTGAAATATTAGCAGTGATTTCTAGGCAGTAGGAATATAGGTATATATTTCTACACACATATGTATAGGAATGTATCTTTATTCTCTTTATTCTTTTCTGTATTTTCTGTAATTTTTACAATGACTGTATTATTTTTATAAGAAAAAACAAGAGTTACAGGAAAAACTTTAAGCCAAAATAGAAAGTACAGGTATCTCCAAGCAGTACAAGCCAGTAAAAGATTATTGGATAGAATATCAAGAAGTTTGAATTCATTTTCGACTCCTAATCCTTTGCTTTGTGACCTGATTCATATCTGTGTCTCAATTTCCCCATCTATACAGAATAAAAGTAATTAAAATAAATCTCACAATAGAGAAGGAAATGAAAATGTTAGAAAAAAATTTGCAAATGTCACACCTATAAACTAGCTGTAAATTAAAAAAGAAATAAAGAGGACTTACTCTATTTTAAAATTTCCCTTAAGTCTTCACTGTATTTATGACTTTTAATATACTAACAAACACATGCTAAAGTTCTCCAGAGTTTTAGCTTCTACTAGGCTCTGCAATATTTTCCAAGTAAACAGTTCCTTATTGATCAAGATAAAGTGCCAAGTCTAGACATTAACAGAGATTCACAGTTAAGCCTAAACTGCTCTTGCTGGCAGAACATTCCTATTACGTCTAATTTTTAAAGTAGTTTAAAATTAGATTTTAAACATGCAGAGTACAGGGAATGTATCTTCTCTCTTTGGATCCAAGTCTAACTGTAGATAAAACCGGTAAGTAGGACGGGTCCTGATCACCTCTTCCCTCCTGCTCAGGCCAACATGTACTCAACGCAAGAGATCTAGGTTTTGGATCTGACTCAAACCAGTGTACAAATAATGAAGCATCATCCTCTTTCTACTTTGCAAGGTCCTCTACTTACTACTTGGTGTGTTCTTGATCCAAATGTTGCTTTCTGATCACTTAGACCAAGAGAGAGTTGGGCTGGGCCCCTCCATACTTCCAAAGCAACCCCCATTTATGTTTCTTATCAGAACTTACCAGGGGTAGAATTCTAAGTTGTTTTTGTCCGATTCCCATGCTGAACAATGAACTACATGAGGGCAAGAGTGAGTACTATGCATCTGGATAATCCCAGCAATTATAGTGCTTGGATATGGTAAACAAAAAGGACTTCTTTAAGAAATGGAATGTTATTCCCAAATTGCAATTTAATAAGGCCTTCCATACAATGCCCACGTAGGGAATCATCTCCATGGCTGGCCAACTACTCTGCCAATGGGATCTACAGAAACTAAAGCAAAACAAAAATGAAGTACACACGAAAGAATTAGATAATGATATCACTAAGGTAGACAATTTTGGTGACTAATTAAAGCAAAGAAATAATGAATCTTTAAAGTTTAAAAGAGCCAGCTGACTAGTAAAATATACTTCAAAAAAGTGTCAATTAATTAAGGAAATCTGAAAAATGGTAATCAGTAACCAAGAAAACACCAGAGTGCAAGAGTTCTAAAAACATGTAAACTCTTAATTACCAGTATTGATTGGAGAAAGGTCAGTACTGTCTTTAGCCAAAAACAGTTATGAAACAAATGAGTGCCTACCGTGACCTAACTAGAAAGACTCATTTCCTGCCCTGAAAGAACTCCGTATTGAGGGGAACACAGAGATACAGATGGACTACTGCAATTCAAAATACAAAGTAGTAGGTATGATGATAGACATATGCCTAAAATATTGCAGGAACACAAAGGTCTTTAGGGATGGGTGGGTGGGAGGGAGCAAAATCTCAGAAAGGCTCCCAGGAAGAGCTGACGCCTGATCTGAGCCAGAATTTACCAAGAAAGGTAGAAAGAGATTCTTGACCTTATAGAAATGAAAGCATAAACACAGGCACTAAGGCAAGGAACAGCACGGATTCAAGGAGCCATCCTTGGATAGGAGCCACAGGTTTCTCTTGAGCCTTGTGACTTCACATTCCAGTACAGATAGTCCGTTACAGAAATAATCATACATCTTCGATTATACGACCCTCTAGGTTGTAAAAGAGAAGTCTTTTAAGGACATCTGAGGGATGTAGTGTAGCAGAATAGAAAGTTCTAGAGTCAGCCTAAATTTTAAATCCTGACCCCCTTTTGTTAGGTACGTGGCCATATACATCCCTCTTGAAGCCTCAACTACCTCATTTGTTAACGGGGATGAATCTTATATATTTAGAGTTATTACAAGGATATCAAGATGTACGTAAATCAACTATGCCTGGCATTTAGTAGGCACTCAATGTATGGAAGTTTTATTACCCATTCTCATTAGTTCCAAACTGAGTTTTCCTTTCCTTTCCATGTCATTACAGATTGGACCTCAGTTGATAGGTTCCACAGTTCACTGCCCAGTTTATGTACCTGTCACACATTTTTGGACATGTATTCTTTGAATACTGGGCTAGGTATCAGTGCCGTGACCCTCCCTCCTCCAGACCCACATATCCATCTCCTAATTTCTTTTTCACTTTCTGTCTTTAAATTGTAATTTTCTTGTCTTCTCTCACCCAGGCATGGAGAACTTTTTTTCTTGTCCCTTATGTCTCACTGAATATACTTTTCAGGGGCTACCAGTATTCCCCACAAACTAGCATTAACCCAAGGTCCTTTCATTTCTATAATGGTAAAATATTATCTCAATATATTCTATAATGTTATAATATATCTCAATATAAAACCCCTGCAGAGTCACAACCAGCTATGTTTACTATTACTACAAACATAAATATCCTATAAATGAGCTTTCATGTATATTTGGTATTCTGGTGACATTCAACACTGCCAGGTAAGTAATTCACCTGCCCAGAGGGAGGGCTCTCCTTAGATGGGTGGCATTGACTCCATGAAGTCACTATTCTTTTCCAAGAGCCAAGATGAGACACTACTTCAGCCATGTGACTTCAACTTCTGTTACTGAACCAGCTGATATTTTACTGATCAACTTGTAAACATTTGGGGGCTTAATTTGAATACTCAATAAAACATAAAATTACTAGATTTGGCTTCTCTTCTGAGGAGATAACACTGAAAGGTTCCCAGAATTGTTCACAATTAAAACAAATGCCCCAAAGTAAAACCTAGTTGATTTTCTTGGTTCAAACAGCATTCAGCTGATGGATATTTTGATAGATGCTAACTAGACTTATTGTAGTGATCAATTAGCAATATATACATATATTGAATCATTATGTTGTACATATAAAATATGTTAGATGTCAATTATATCTTAATACAAAAAACCCCAGCATTTATTAAGCACATATAAAGGTCATGTACTATGCCAGTCATGGGCTATTCATCTGTCCAATAGAAATGATTACTTCACAAGGCTGTTTTGAGGATTAAAGAATCCTCAGATTAAAAAATCTGTTGGACAGATGAGGACATAAACTCAGAAAAGTGAGGAGGCTTGTCTGTGGCCATAAGGCTGTTAAATGATAGAATGAAAATCTGAACCTAGGTCTGGCTCAAAATTCAGAGTGGTTTCTACTGAACCATAGTTATATTGTTCAAACTGCCACATCCCTCATCAATAATAATATTATAATAGTTGTTGCTAACATTTATCTAGGTCTTCTCATGTGGCAAGCACTGTGCTAAGCAATTTATGTATACAATCTCATTTAATCCTCACAATTACCCTGGGAAGTAGGTTTATCATCATCTCCATTTCACAGATGAGGAAACTGAATTTTACCCAAGTTCAGTAATTGCTTTGTTCCTATAGCTAATAAGGAATAGGGTTGAACTGGGGTCTAATTCTAGTACCCATTGTTTCCATTATTACTTAGACTGCAGGAAACCCAACACTAGTCTTGGCTCCAACCAACCAGGCAAGTCATTTGATATTTCTGTCTCAATTTCCTTGTTAATTAAATGGGGGATATTGTTACTTGTCCCTACCTATTTCACAAAGATATTGGGATTATAAAATAGGAAAGTGTACAAGCTTTAAGAAGGGAAATTGACTATATAAATCTATGCACTGGTCACGAGTTTCACTTAGATCTTCCCTCTTCCACTATCATAAAGGGATTTAGCTGACCTCATTAGCTCTCAAACGTCCTCTGAAGTGGTAGCAAGTATTATTATCTACACTTATCAAAAAGCTAAAGCACGAGGAGATGATGTCATTTGCTAGTTAGTGGCAGAGCTGGGAATAAAACTGACGATCTGAACTCCCACTACTCATGTTCTTATGGTAAATCCTATTTATGCATTTCAAACTTAATTGCAAAATAGATGGGGTAGAAATATTAGTATCTACTTCAAAACAGATTAAATACTTACAGAAATTAAATTTGCTACTGCAGTGACACTAACATAATCTCTAAGGCTCTTACTCTCACATTCTAAAGAAACTGCACAAAGAATCAGAAGGAAAAATTTTCCATTTCCGTGGTATAGACTTTAGCTCTTTAGTTTTCTCAAATAACTTATTAATCAAGGATTACAAAACTGGGTGAGTCATTACCTAGCTTCAGCTAGTGAGCCTGTAAGCTTCCAGAGGGGGCATAAAACCTCAATATTAAATTGTTCCCTCATAAAGTGAGAAAAAAGCAGCATCAGATACGTTCTCACATCAAAACACCTAATTTAACTATGTAATCTGACTTGGCAATTATTCTAACACACCAACCCATAATACCCTGAGCTCAAAATTCAAGTTCCAAAGTGAACTGCATAATTAAAACAACAAAAGTGCACACAGCACCTTTATGATCATTCTTCTCCTATACAAAAACCAAAATCAGTTTTGTACCTCCCACCCAAGTCCCATCACACACACACAAAACTTAAAGTAAAATAAAAAGTAGTAGTGGGGCCAATTCTCTATCTTCAACAGGGCACAGGTGTTCAGTCTAGTGCCCAGATTATTGGCTGCTCCTAATCCTTGTTTTCTAGAACACGAGAATCTTTCAATTATTATTAGTTTGATAATCATGTATGTTGACATTACCACAGAGACCAGAGGAAATAAGAGAAATTTCTATTCTTGAAACAGAACTATATTTTGGAGTGAGAGAAACTTCATTATTATTACTCTGTCTGACTCTGATTGAGTTAGACTTAAGTGAAAACTTGTCACTTTGTTATAGGGACAAAAACTAAGTCACAGGAACCCAAAGAGCTGTTCTACGAATGTCAAGAGAGTTTGCTTCTTGAGTAGCTTGAGATCTGAAGCTACTCCTAACTTCTTCATAGAAGTCCTACCACCCGTGCCACATGCTCTGAGGTGAAAGTAAATGATGACACAGGATGCCTCATTTTTTCAGAGGTTGTTTTAGTACATCAGTCTATCTTCCCTTTGAGAAAAGTCTTTGTCTTAGCTTCTGTAATGAAACCAATCAGACCTCTGTTGTGTCAGGGGCTCTAAGGTCTCAAACTTTAATGTGCATATGAATCACCTGGGGATCTTGTTAAAATGCAGTATATGATTCAGAAGGTCTGCGACTGCATGTGCAATGAGCCCCCAGGTAATGCCAGTGCCCCTGCTGGGTGTAACACACTTTGAGCAGCAGGGCTCTACAGAATGTTTCCAAATAGAAATAATCTCAACCGAATGTTAATTCTGAAAATACAGAGCCTCCACCAAGTCTGTAAAGGGAGATAGTATTTCAGAGCCTAAACAAGGTATGCGCTCCTTCTCCCTTTTCTGTGATTTTTACCACCTGGTTGTAAACCTAATGTAATACCTTAATCAAGGGCAACTTTTAAGAAGGTCTTTTGAGCTTACAATTTATTAGGGCTTAGACTTGATTGGAGCTTGTATAGATGAACATAAAACTTAAAGCCTGTATAATGAAAGGGTTGATTAAAAATAAATAATTTTTAATTATGTCAAATACTAATGAATAAGTGATGTTTACAAATAGTTTATACCAAGATTAAGACATACAAAAGTATATGAGGAGAATCACAGGGTATTAAATTTGTCCTAGAAGCTGAGGGAGGGTGCAGAGAAAGGGAACAGCTGGTAAGTGGAAGAGTTTAACTGGAAAAGATTACACCGGGAGCGATAGCCCATTCCCCTTAAGAAAACCAGTAAACCTCCACAAACTTTCATTTTTTTAGGTTTTCAATGTTTCTTTTCATATGACCATTAGTTCAACCTCCCCCACAAAATTCTAACCACCATCATAAAAATTAAGTTGGCAATAGGTCCAGCTGGCTACATTCCCCATTTACCCTTAGATGTTTTTCAAGCAAATAAGGATAAAATTCACGGTGGAAGTAGCAAGAGTAAGGGGATAATCACTTCTCTTTGCACAGAAGGAGCCCCATCTCGAGCACTGTTCTGTCTGCCACGTTAGGTGTCTCAGTGCTTGCGTGCACTCTTCAGCCCCATAACCGTGAAGGTAGCCGCCGTCAGTTTCTCATAAACAAGGAACATGAGTGCAGCAGTAAGGACTGTCTGCAGCAGTTTGGCTTCAAGGCCTTTGTAGAGTCCCATTATTCCAAAACGCCTGAAGGGACAGAGGTTTGAAAAAAAAAAGTTTTCTTTATTAGAGTCAATTCCTGCATCAAAGAAACATGCTACTGTAGTCTCTGCTTACCTGTGGGGCATATGTTCCAAGAACCCCAGTGGATGCCTGAAACCACGGATAGTACCCAACACTATATACTGTTTTTTCCTACACAGACATGCCTATAATAAAGTTTAATTTACAAATTAGGCACAGAAAGAGGTTGACAATAACAATAAAATAGAAAAACTATAGCAATTTACTGTAATAGAAGTCATGTGAATGTGGTATCTCCCTAAGAACATCTTATTGTACTGCACTCAGCTTTCTTGTGATGATGTGAGGTGATAAAATGCCTATGACGACAGGAAGCAGGTGAGTGATGCAGGCACTGTGATACAGCGTTAGGTTAAGCTACTCTTTGCATCATCATCGTCATCATCGTTATGATAACAATCGTTACTACTCTTTCTATACCCCCCTCCTTGCTCACTCTGACTACTGCCCTGTATCTGCTTCTCTCTGTCTACCAGAGAGAGGTCGAGGGAATGCCACTGATGGAAACACCACTCAGGCAGAGTAGTCTCTCTATTAAATCACTGGAGCATTCCCTTTCGAAAGTTCTGCATGTTTGTTGAGTAACAAAGAATAAGGGCTTGAGCTTTTCCATAATGTCCCCACATGTTGTCATACGCACTAAGCCCCTAAAATGCAAGGTGAGCATAGAACACAAGGGAGAGGTTGGTAGGCTGCTACTGCCAAGGCAGTAGCACAAATGCAGCAAATCCAGTCACTCCCTGGAAAAGACGGCTGTTGCAAGAGGACAGAATGTGAAGCCTGCATAAAGCTCACTTTATTCGTTGGTGAAGAAGATAGAGAACATTCCGAAGACTCCCCAGTGTTCTGTTTTCTGGATTTAGTCTGTGACGTCCAAACTAGGGAAGAAGAAAATAAAAATAATTACTATTTATTACTGCTTTATCTTGATTTCTCCTGCAGAAATTATCTTGGAGCAATGTCTTACAGCATGTGGTAATAAAAATACCACATTAGTATGGAGATTTCATTAATAATAATAATATTTCATTCATAAGGAGTATTTTTTCAATGAAACAAGCATGAGAATTTCCATTTTACAAGGACCTCTGGGGAAAATTCTATCTCAAAAGAAAGTAAACATGCCCACAATGGAGATTTAGATACCGATGGCCTGGCTTAACTTCCAGTTCTTTAAGAAGTTCTAATAAACACTAACCAATTAGGACCACTGCAGTCTACATTCTTCACATTATATGTTTACAATATAAGTGTCAAATACATTTAACTGGATACTATTGAATTCCTTTATATTAAATACCAATTTTAAATCCGTATATTAGTAAAAATCCTTTTAGCACAAGGTAATTTTTTTAACTGAAGTAACTATCATCCCCATTCTGTCCATCAGTAAGTCCTCTGAATGTTTTCTCTGCATCTTCTCTCTACTGTTACTGCCTTAGTCTAGGCTACCATCACTTCTCACTTGTATTGGTCTCCTACCTGGTTGCCCCTCTTCGTTTCTCTGAGCCTTCAGACCAATTTGCCACAGTAATCTCAAATTGCAAAATCACACCTTAGTTTAAATCCTCTCAAAGGCTTTCCACTGCAGTAAGAGTAAAATCTAGAATCCTCACCTACAGCCTACCTTGCTGCATTTCTAATCACATTCCTAGGCACCCTCCCACCATAGTGGCCTCCAATCTGTTCCTAGGAGTCACCAAGCTCTTGGCACACCATACTCCCTCCCCCTAGACTGCTCCTCACATGGCTGGGTGTGCTTAATGAAGATTTCAATGAGTGAATAGCCGAATGAAAAAAGCAGAAATTTGAAAGTGCTTCAGAAAAACTAAACATTAATACCTTCTGAATGAACTAAAGGAATCAACCTCTGCTTTTGCAAAGAATAATACCTAAGCAAATCAACTAGAATGAGAAGGAAGCGAACTTACACATTTCTAAAGTCCTTAAAGAATCTTCCTTCATTTTTGGGTTTTCTGAGACTCTACATTACCTAGGAAATTGCAAATCTAAACTTTATTCCAAATCAAATGGGAACCCAACTGAGAGCCAGCCTGGTTAGGAAAATATCAAACAAATGGAAAAATAGATAGTGAATGTTTATTGCTATATTAACATTGCCTTAAACCGAGGAACCACGTATTTTAGAAAGCTCTTTGACCACATGCAGGGAGAACCCCAGGACTCACCCTCAGAATTGACTGTACTGTCTGCATGGGATAGGTGACTGTGGTGGCAATTGCCTTGGCTACTGCACCAATGATGAACACATCCACAGAAGAAAGCTGGCAAGAAAAGAAAGAACCAACTACATCAATCCAAACAAGAAAGTGTCAGAGATTTTTATTTGCTGCTTTCAAAATCAGGAGTTACCTTCATTCGTTTCTTTAAAAGCTGCCGTTTTAAACCTTCATAGAACATGAACTGGATGGCAGGATTGAAGACCAACAGCAAGGAAGGAAACGTGCCATTCCATAAAGCCAAGATTCCTTCATCTCGAATGATCTGGTGAAAAGCATCTAAGAAAGAAATCAAGGACTTTTGATGACAATCCCCTAACTAGAGAAGACAACATGAATTCTGTTCAGATGTACCCAGAACACAAACCACAGTTGGTTCTATCCAGGTTTCCTTCTTGCAGTGATATTTTCGGGACAAATTCATCAGTTAACTACTTTCCGATAATCATCAGACACTGGCAGTCACCAAGTTATTGAGAAACCACCTTCAATCACTGGCAATTCTTCCTGACAATCCGGGGTTAGAATGTTAAGTTTTCCTAAGTGATGACTTCCACTCCCGGGAACTCTGTGTCACAGAGAACTGTGAACTGGTACTTTTGTGTTTCACGACAAAGTCCAGTACAACAAAAGATAAGATACTTCCCTAGAGTCCAATAAATAGGATTCAACTTCTAATAAAACAATTTTTCTCATTACAAAGATGGAAACATGAGAAAAGGGAATCTGGCAATGTAGTACTAGTAAGCTCAAAAATATCAGGTGCTACCTAGTATCTTTGTCCAAAGATAACCCTAGGAAAAAAACATAGACTGTTCTTTAGAAATATTCACCCCTTCCCACCTACACTCCATGGGAACAGTACATTTCTCTAGCCCTTGTCCTTGGGCTAGGCCATGGGATGTACTTTAGCTAAGAGGATGTTAGCAGACAAGATGCAAACAGGGGCTTGAAATATGCTGTACAATGGGGCATGTCCACCTGTGCTTCTGCCACGACCAAGAGAAGAATAAGCTCAGGTTGGTCCCAGGAAAAGGATGAGAGACATGTGGAGCCAAGACTCCCAGACTGGCTCAGCCTAGATGAGTCAAATCCTTGTCAACCCATAGACACGTCAGCTGAGCAGATTCTTACTGTTAGGCATTGAGATCTGAGGTTGTCTGAGATGTGGCAGTACCATGGTAATAAACTCCAGAAAAGAAACCCCTTATATAGGAATTCACGCAGGAGACACTTACCAATAATTCCTTTGTAGTTGGTTGGTACAATGTCTTCATTCCTAAATTTTGCCCCCTGCAGCTTCAGTCTGGTGTTTACCACCCAGAGTGGAGTTGTCAGCAACACATTCACCACTCCTTTAAAAAGAAAGAGGGAGAGACAAAGGAAAAGCAAAATGTAACCTTTAAAGCTTTGTGGTCTTATATTAATATAGCAATGTTCTGTTTATACTCCTGCCACTGACCTACTAGGAGACCTGAGGTAAGTGTCTCTCTGTGACAGGATACACAACATAAGCCACTACTGTTAGAAGCAATTCGGAAGCCTTGATGACAGCAAAATGGCTGGCAGCAGTACATCTTCACACGAGAAGAGTAATGAGTTTCCTCATTTGTATAAAAGGAGGCAAACTATTTGTCAACTTGCATAGCATCCAAAGTAGCAATTCTGATGTAGTTTTAATAGCTTTAAGAGAGGGGAAGTGGCTGTTGATCACAGGCTAAGCCCACAACATTACCACATTAAACACACAATTTATAACTCTCATGTAGGTGGTTCACATGGTTTTAGGTGAGTATGGATCTGGTACAAAGGGTGAGAGGTGGGAGAAAGTGGTGACATTTGAAAGTGCTTCAACAGGGACAAGAGGCTCCTAGAAGAGTTCCTCATCATGTAGAGATTAGGATAGGCAGGCAGTGAGCAGTAGTTATGGACTGTCACAAAACATGAGGCAGCTTCACAAGAACTGTGATCCTTACAGGTTTAAGGATGGGGATCTTGGCCCCCAAGGTTGCCTCAGAGTGGAACAATACAATGAGCCAGGTGCTTCTTTTTTTGAAAACACATGATCCCAATTTAACACCATCTTGAGATATTAAAATATTCACCATTCCTGAAATGATTAAAACAAACAAACAAACCAGATAGAGTTGTAACAAAGTGCCTGACACATTGTATATACTTTCTATTTCTTAAATAAATACTGAACCAATGAGCCAATGACCACGCTTGGCAAACAACCATACATTGAGCCATCTGGCTCTAGCAGTGCTCTGAGGAACCAAGAGGCATAATCCCAAGGAAGAGAAATCTTTTCTAAAGGTCATTTAAGCATAATAGAAGAAAGAATGTTTTGATTTAAGGAATCTCAAAACATACTATACAGAAAACACAATCTAACCAGGGTAAGCTTGGTGAGACAGCCAAGAATTCGAATTCTGTTTTTTCATTTGTTGCATACAGGGTATTTTGTTACCTATCTCTTTGGAGCATTATGAGAACACATTTCTCAAAATAAAAGACATCAAATAAGTTTATGAATTGTATTTGTTATATTTTTATAGTCACATAACACCAAGGAGTCATCTTCAGTTATGACCCAATATAATTCATATATTGTCACTTGAGGCATTGATCATAATCTGACAAAGTCTTAGCTGGAGACTCATTCAGTCTCATTTTTAAAAAGAGCCAGTGCCTACGAGGTGGAGATAGAAGAACATTAATACATCCATTTGCCCAGACTTCATGATGTGCTCTCCTGTTTAATGCAATGCACACATCACTTAACAGAAAAATCAATAGCCAGAAAAATCAGACTAGCAAGTGCTAGTGAGCAGTCTAGTGCACTTTTTTTAAGATGAAGAGGAGATCTCAGAGCCAGAAATCACAAGCTTCCATGGATACTGTAGACAGGTATGGTATACATACCTCTCTAAACAAATGAAATAGGTAGCTCATCATACAAATTTTTTAGAAACAAAAATTCCCTTCATGTTCTATTCAAGAGGTAGGCACATACAAAACCCTTCAGAGGCAATGCAGCTAAGATTAAAATTTTAAAGTTATTTAAAATTTTGCTTTCACATTTCCATTATTAACATGAGCAGAAGGCTGAGAGGATTCAAGGATACTCTCAAGTACAAAAATGCACTACATCATTTAAAGAAGAGAACATAAAGTCCTCATAAAAACATTTTGTATTTCAAAGCTTTTTATCTGAGGAATTCAAGTACTTTGTTCATCCTTTATGCCAAAATAGATGAAGAGGTTTTAATCACTACAATTTTATGAGTTCTGGGAAGAGTTCTGGGAATAGACACTCAAAGTATTTGTGGATTCAAAACTTTACTTAAAACTTCTGACTTATATAATCAAGCAAAGGACAGAATTCCACGAAAGAAAAACAAGCTACAAACAGTCATGATGAGCAACTCCAATTCTTACTAATGCACCACGGATATGGCTGAAGGATAAAGAATGTTGCTTATTTATGAGCCTGTGTAGAAAATTCTTCTAGTTCCAAGCTGTGACAACTGTCACACATCTACAGCTCTAAGATGGGCATACCAATACTTTACCTGTTTCATGACAGAAGATTGTTTTTCTACCAATTCAAATAATTCTACTTTCTTTTTTTGGTAAAAATCATTTACAAGGAAAAAACCAAAATTAAGAGATGAAGAACAGTAACTGAACACATGCACTAACATTTTTCATTGATTCAATAGATAATTGCAACATAGCTATTTGCTTCTGAAATCTTGAAAACAGATAGTTTTAACAGTAGTGAGTCTCCTTTATTAAGGAGAGAAAACAGACATGAGGATGCTAACTAGGTACGCATTTCTGGGAAGTATGCATAATGACCACTGATAGAAGGAAATGGCAGATCAAGGCTAGAATCTAACCATTTGGCTCCTTACAAAGGAATGCAATTTGATACACAACAAGAACAAAATGCCTTACCAGATTTAAGGCTGAAGGGCAAGAAATGACCTGTCACAACAATTATAACACCATTCGGCATTCAAAAACAGTTACTGGTAAAAACCCGTTTCATGAAAATGGCATTTATCTTCTTCATTTAAGTTATCTGTAAGTTCTGTTCCCAAATCCTTCCTCAGGGTATCAAGCTATATGACTTTTTTCTGTAAAAGTACAGTAAGTAATAATAAATTTCTAAGTTTCAAGCAGAATTTGAGGAACAATAATACTGCTTTTAGCTCTCCTTGGAAATAATGAAACTCATTTCTATAGTGATTATAATACAACGAGAGGACTCACAGCAGGAAGAGAAAAGGCTGTTCTAATTATTTTAAGAATGCCTAAGTATGCCGAGAGAGGACCTATCATCAGGGAATCTGGCAACTACAAAGGACTGTAAAATTCATTTGCCCTTGGATCTCTCAGGTGTGACACTACTGACATTTGGGCTGGAAATTGTTTGGGGTGAGGGAATACAGACTGTGTAGGATGTTTAGCCATTTCCCTGGCCTCCACCCACTAGATGCCAGTAGCACCTCCAGTTGTGACAACCAGAAATGTCTCCAGACATGGCCAGATGTTCTCATGGGTCAAATCAGTCTCAGTTGAGAACCACTGATCTAATCCAGTCACTAGGTGATTATTCACTTTATTTGGTAAGTCTCAAAAGGCAGAAATTTACACTCACCCCAATGGCCTATTTTGTCCAAGAGCTGTTAGAAATTTTATTTTTATTGCTATTAAATCCACTTTCTTAAAGCAACTAGAAACATAAGAAATTAGCTAGCAGACGTTTTTTACCTGAGGTATGATTTAGCGATTCTGAAATGGCTTTACGTATACTTTCAGATAAGCAAATGTACCATGATCCTGGCCCAATTCCTTTCGGTAATACATAACAAGTACAGTCCCTCTTCCACAAGCCATTCATCCACGGTCTGGTCATCAAATATATATTGTGTGTCTAATATGTGATAAGCCCTGTTATACATGCTGATTCTAGAGCAGTAAATAAAAAAGAAAATCCCTGTCCTAGTGAAATCTACATTTCAATGGTATGTTAGAAGACAAAGGTTAAAGAGAAAATTTAAGCAGAGAAAGAGGCTAGAGGTATTGGGGGTAGGGACACTATTTTATTTTTTCAAAGAACCAACTATTGGTTTCATTGATTTTTTTCTATTGCTTTATTCTTCTCAATTTTATTTATTTCTTCTCTGATCTTTATTATGTCCCTCCTTCTGCTGACTTTATGCCTTATTTGTTCTTCTTTTTCCAATTTTGATAATTGTGACTTTAGACTATTCATTTGGGATTGTTCATCTTTAAATATGCCTGGATTGCTATATACTTTCCTCTTAAAACTGCTTTTGCTGCATCCCATAGATGTTGGGGCTTTGTGTGTTGTTGTTGTAATTTGTTTCCATATATTGCTTGATCTTTATTTTAATTTGGTTGTTGATCCATTGATTATTTAGTAGCATGTTGTTAAGCTTCCATGTGTTTGTGAGCCCTTTTGCTTTCTTTGTACAATTTAGTTCTGCTTTTATACCTTTGTGGTCTGAGAAGTTGGTTGGTAGGATTTCAATCTTTTTGAATTTACTAAGGCTCTTTTTGTGGCCTAGTATGTGGTCTATTCTGGAGAATGTTCCATGTGCACTTGAGAAGAATGTGTATC